AATAACTGTGATATTGAATGGTTTGCCTTGAAAACGAACAGAGATGATTCTGTTGTTTTTGAGATTGCACCCAAGTACTGAATTTTGGATTCTTTTGTTGACTATGATGGCTACTCCATTTCTTCTAAGGGATTCCTGCCCACAGTAGTAGATATAATGGTCACCTGAGTTAAATTCACCCATTCCAGTCTCTTTTATTTCACTGATTCCTAAAATGTCAATGTTCACTCTTGCCATCTTCTGGTTGACCACTTCCAATTTGCCTTGATTCATGGACATAACATTCCAGGTTCCTATGCAATATTGCTCTTTACAACATCAGACTTTACTTCCATCACTAGTCACATCCACAGCTGGGTGTTGTTTTTGCTTTGGTTCCATCTCTATACTCTTTCTGGAGCTAGTTCTCCACTAATCTGCAGTAGCATATTGGGCACCTACTGGCCTGGGGAGTTCATCTTTCAGTGTCCTTTTTGCCTTTTCATGCCATTCATGAGGTTCTCAAGGTGAGATTACTGTAGTGGTTTGCCGTTCCCTTCTCCAGTCTAGACCATGTTTTATCAGATCTCTCCACCATGGCCCATCCATCTTGGGTGGCCCTTCATGGCATGGCTCATAGTTTCATTGAGTTAGACAAGACTGTTATCTATGTGATCAGATTGGTTAGTTTTCTGTGGTTGTGGTTTTCATCCTGTGCGCCCTCTAATGGAGAAGGATAAAAGGCTTATTATGGAAGCTTCCTGATGGGAGAGACTGACTGAGGGGGAAACTGGGTCTTGTTCTGATGGCCAGTGCCATGTTCAGTAAATCTTTAATCCAATTTTCTGTTGATGGATGGGGCTGTGTTCCCTCCCTATTATTTGACCTGAGGCCAAAGTATGTTGGAGATAATGAAAATAATGCTGACCTCCTTCAACAGGTCCCATGCAAGCACTGCTGCACTCAATGCCCCCACCCTGCACCAAGCCACCTCTGACCACGCCTCTGCCAGAGACTCCTGGACATTCACGGGCAAGTCTGGGTCAGTTTTTTGATCATTGCTCCATACTCCTGGGCCCTGGTGCACACAACATTTTGTTTGTGCCCTCCAAGAGTCTGTTACCCCAGTCCTGTGTAAGTTCTGGCAGCTCTATGGTGGGACTCATGGCGACCTCCTCCAAGAGGGCTTATGCCAAACCCAGGTCTACTGCACCCAGAGCCCCTGCCCCTGCAGCAGTCCACTGACCCGTCCCTCTGCAGGAGACACTCCGACATAATTCTGTCTCAGTCTCTGTGGGGTCCCTGGGTCCTGGTGCACACAAGGTTTGTTTGAGACCTCTGAGAGTCTCTGACGAGTATGGGGTTTGATTCTCACTGGGGCAATTTTGCCCCTCCTACCGTCTTGCTGGGGCTTCTCCTTTGCCCTTGGACAGGGGTTATCTCCTCAAAGTCGCTCTATCACCACTCCACCGCTCCTCCTGCACCTACTGCCTTGCTGGGACTTCTCAGAGAAGAGGAGAAGAGAAGAGGAGAGGTCATGGTGCTCCCTAAATACTTTCCTATGCTCAGGGGTACCCTCCTTTGCTGTGTTTAGTTCAGTGCCAGAAAATTGTAACCACATATAATGTGTGTCATTTTATAGTTGTTTATTGTGGAGAGAAAAGTACAGTACTGGTTACTTTATCATGGTGGCACAAATCCCAACAAGACATGTTTACTGTTAGATAAAGAAGATAAAGGAAACTGCCAGAGGTGAGGCAGGCTTAGGGTGGTGAGGGAGGCAGGAGCCTTTAGAGTTAACATACAGCCTGTGACTTGAGTTGTTTGGAAACAAGCTGTATCTATACTTAAAAAATACAAAAGTGAAGGAAAGATGAACTTGAGGGATCAACCCAGTAGTATGTAGTGAGACGTCTTGTTGGAAGAGAGCAAATCTGATTAGAAATGAAAGATAAGTCTAATTTCCCTCTTTCTGCTGTTAATCTTTAGCAAGTAGGTGTCCCATATAATATTGTCATAATAAAAAGAAACGAACCCAGAACTGATGATGAATTGAAAAAATTGAAGAATAACTGAATATAAACCAAATTCTACTGAAGAACATACAGTGAAGAAGGAATTATCTAAGTAAAATTACCAATAATTAAGACAAAAAGTCCTCTATATTTTCAGTGAATTACAGGAATGCTATATTTCAAGTGATTTTATATAATAAAAGAGAACATCAAAAGAGTTAAAGCATTTTATTATTTTATAAGACAATAGTTGCAGATGAAAAGCAGACTAGAAATATTGGGGGAAAAGTGAAATCAGAAGCATAAAGGTTTTATAGATTGCTCCCTCTTCACATACACACAAATAACATAATTAAAATTTTTTTAAAAGTTGTAAAAAAGTAATTATATATATATGTATATATACATGTGTATATATATACATGTACATATATATGTGTATATAGATTTCTCTCTACAATCCTTTTATCCATATATATGTATATATAATTTCTCTCTGTAAGAATTATATTAATAAATGGAATAAATGGAAGAGAAAAATATGAATATATAGTAAAGGAATAGCTCTATACTAGAAGAACAAAAGTCTAAGATGGAAATTGCTACCAAGCCATGCCATGCTTTGTTCGCCATTCCATTGTTTGCAAAAGAATATTAGGGCTGTGGGCATAAAAAGCAGATCATCCACAGCGGAAGCTAAGCATGAAAGGCAAGAGAAATTAGGCTGGCCTTGGACTTTTTCTCTGATAGGAGACAATGAAACATTTATCCACAAATGTTTGAGGATTGATGACTCAAGATACTATGACCATTCAAAATTGCTCTTAAAGTACTGAATAATCAAGAAAATATATAAAAGTTCAGAATATTTATTTATGTAGATATTAATAGAACACTGGGAGAAGACTGGCACAAAAAATGACTTGTGATTGCTGATCATATATGTGTTTTGATTTTTGACATTGTAAGATTGACAATTTCAAAAACTTGGTTGGTGAGTAAAAGTGGGAGGAATTATAAATATGTCATAATTACAAACATTTCCTTTTTAACTTATGCTTTCTATAAATGAAATGCAACTTAATTTTTAGTATTTTCTTAATATGAGAGTGCCTTTTAGAGAATATTTCAGAATAAAAAAACATTGACAGCTTTCAGCCATGCCTTTAATCCTAGTTGTTTTCTCATGATAAATTCATACAATTTAATTTAATAATTTGCTACATTATATAATATACACATAATTTTCATTTTGCTGTAAACATCTGTCTCTCTCTCTTATAGAGCTATACCTGGAGCAATTAATAGTTAAGGATGTTTATTTCATTAGTGGATTTTGGAATGTAAACCTTTCAAAAAATGCTTTGTATTGATATTTTTAGAATTATTAGAAAACAGCAGGTAAAATTTCTACACAAAACAAGAATTCTATAAAAATAAAGTAATTTATCCTGTAAGTTTAGCACCCATCTCAAAAACATGTCATAAAATCTGAGCATACTTATAAATATCCAAACATATTTTTGAAAGGTCACATGCTAAATATTCTAGGCTTATGAACCGCATGGTCTCTCAGAACTATGCAACTTTGCTGTTGTCAGCTATAGACGTCTATATGTAAACAAATTGACATGTTCCAGTAAATCATTCTTTATGAAAATAGTCAACTAGCCATTGGGTCATAGTGTGTTGACCCCTGGTATAGACTGACATTTCATCAACTTTAAAGATTAAATTATTATCAGCCTCTCTGAGAAGTACTGAGATAAGGAAACTGATACAAATTGGCCATGATTAATGAATTTATTGATTTTATTTCCTTGTTCCTGATATTAATTACTACAGCACTTCACTTGGATATGAAAAGTATCAATCAAGGGGATTGCCACTGAGTAATTTACATATGTATCCACATAAATCTTAAAATGTTCTGGCTTCTCAAAAATGCCGACATTTCAGGTGAAATAAATTTCATTCCAAACAGTTATTAGATGTTATGCTCAGTTTGACTTCTTTCTTTCCCTCTTATGTTTACTGCGTTAGTCAAAGATCTCAGATTGTTGGAGCTATATTGGACCTCTCAATGCTTCAAATTAAGTAATCTCATTCTCACAAGAAGGAACCATGCTGTTACTGAGATTAATAACTTCTCTATGGTAACCCTACTGGTTCTTGTCATAGTTAGGACTGGAATCCAGTCTCCCAGCTCCCATTGCAGAATTTTTCCCACTCCACTGTACTGTCATGTGTGGAATGACTCAAGCCAGTCAGCAGGCAGTTGATCAGAGCTTATCCTGCTGGCTATCATACTAGAAATGCCTGGAGAATCCCAGGGACAGAGGAGCCTGGCAGGCTACAGTCCATAGGGTTGCAGAGAGTTGTACATGACTAAGCAATGAAGCACAGCACAGCACATAGGTACGTTTCTAATATGATAACCAAATGCCTGGAGAATCCCATGGACAGGGAAGCCTGGCGTGCTGCAGTCCATGGGGTTGCAAAGAATCGGGCACAACTGAGCAACTGAACTGAACTGAGCCAGCAGGTTAAGCTGCACAATAGGTGATTCTAATATACAGCCCACACTGAGAAAAAAAAAAAAAGAGAGAGAAAGAAAGAAACTGAGCAAGTTAAAGAAGTTTATCTGGTCTTCACATATTGGAGCACACATGCAGTTCTTTTCTCAGAATATTACTTCATGTTATGAGAGCAATTTTTAAGTAGTAATTTCATGATAAGGAATAAATGAGATAGTGTAAAGACAGCTTTCCCAAGTGATTTTATAAATTGGATGTAATTAGTCTGTTTTATACTACTAGTTCTGTAAAGCACTTGCAATATAAGGTGGTTGTAGAATGCTCCTTTTAAAATGTCCTTGTACATTTTTGCCATTTACAAACTAAGCCTCAAACATTTAAATTATCTTTGTTAGCATTGTACAGAAAGAATAAGGAATATTTAGGTGCTCACTTTGAAAACTTTACCTCTTAATTTTTCCCTGTGCAGTGAAAGATGCAGATATACCTTGTATGGACACACAGATTCTGTGAACAGCATCGAGTTTTTTCCTTACTCCAACACTCTTCTTACGGGTTCTGCTGATAAGTCCCTGTCCATCTGGGATGCAAGAACGGTAAGCAAATCATTAATGTTTTTTTTTTTCCAATTTTGATAGGTCTAGTCACTCTTAGTCACTTTTCAGGTACAAGGTACAACTTATGAAGAAATTATATAGGGGCAAGTAGGATAAAAGAATGATAGTAAGTTTCTGTTTACAAGGTCTTATCTGTATGCTTTTATCTACCCTGCCTCCTAAAAGTAGGAATATAAAATAATGTGATAGCTTCATTAAACATTAATGCAGCAATTATTTATTGAGATAGAAACTCTGCTGATATGATACATATGACAGGGAAATGTGCAGCACCTCTCCATAAGGACCTTGCATCTTAGAAAGGAAGGAGAACCAAGAGATTATTTTAATGTGGTGAGGTGTATATTAAAATGGAAGAAAATACAAGATACAGGGGAAAAGCAGGGAGAACTCTTATCTGCCTAAAAGGATGTGGATGACTCCCAAGAGGAGGCTGTCCTTGTGCTGAGCGTTAGAGGGTAAGTAGGATATACCAAGTAATCTCAAGAAGATGGATTCCAGGAAAGAATAGTGCATACCTTACAAAGCTCTAGAGGTATGAGGCTATAAAAGCATATGTGGAGAGTAAAAATATGTATTGATAGAGCTTAAGAAAGAGGAAATAAAACACAAGCAAGTGTATACAGATAGACAAGCTCAAGATCACCAAGTATCTGATTGAAGTTTTATTATTTTCAGAGTGAATCTATTAAAGCATGCTAAGCAAACCATGGCTTCCCTGATAGCTCAGTTGGTAAAGAATCCACCTGCAATGCAGGAGACCCCTGTTCAATTCCTGGGTTGGGAAGATCTGCTGGAGAAGGGATAGGCTACCCACTCCAGTATTCTTGGGCTTCCCTGGTGGTTCAGCTGGTAAAGAACCCACCTGCAATGCAGAAGACCTGGGTTCGACCCCTGAGTTGGGAAGATTCCTTGGAGATGGGAAAGGCTACCCACTCCAGAATTCTGGCCTAAAGAATTCCATGGACTATATAGTCCATGGGGATTGCAAAGAGTCGGACATAAGTGAGCGACTTTCACACACACACAAGCAAATCAGGTAACGATCAGATTAGCCCTTTAGAAAGAGATTTGATAGCAGAGTTAGGGGAGTCACTGAGGAGGCTTCTGCAGTCGGCTGTGAGCGGCGGAGAGCTTGAACTAGGAGACTGTGAGAATTTAAAGGAAAGAATGAATTCAGGGTAAAGCGTTTAACTCTCACCGTTTGAAAAGTGATTGGAGGTGGAGGTAATGTGAGAAAAGAGAAGGAGTCTAAAGGTGACCAGTTGTCCCACTTTATCTAAGATTGCAAGTTTTCCTGGGTTAGGGCTTTTTTCAATGTTAAAACAGATAATCCTGGATTAGTATGACCTCAGAAATAAATTAAATGTGAACAAATGGAGATGGAATTTGGGGACTACATTTTCACAGCGTTTGACTGTGAAGATGAGGAGGAGAAAAGGCTATAGTTCCAGAATCTAAGAGAGGTCTCCCTTGTCTCAGATGGGAGACAACTTGTGGAAAGGATTAAAGATTTGGGAAAAAGAAAAGTGAAAGTGTTAGTCACTCAGTCGTGTCCAGCTCTTTGCAATCCCATGAACTGTAGCCCGCCAGGCTCCTCTGTCCATGGGATTTCCCAGGCAAGAATACTGGAGTGGGTTGTCATTTCCTTCTCCAGGAGATCTTCCCAAGCCAGGGGTTGAACCTGGGTTTCCTGCATTACAGGCAGACTCTTTACCCCCAGAGAAGCTAAAGCACAGTGAGTTGAGCGCACACTTTAGTACTTTGGAGAATGCCAAGATATGCAGAGTCTCCATATTTGTTCTTAGCAACATTTGATCAGGATAATGAAGGAAACTAGGACTTTAGGAGACTATATCGAAAGCAAAAAAAATCCATATTTTCTGACTCATGAGTCAAGAAAGACAGGCAACTTGTAAATGTTTCCCTTTTATCCTTTTGTATACAATGCATGATTGATGTCCACAAAGGAATATGATGATGAACATACAGATGGAATGAACAAGGACCCGAATTCATTATGGGAGGCCCTGTTTAGTTCTCTGAGGCAAATTGATTTAGGATAGAGAACACGGAGTCCTTAGGTTCACATATTATAGAAAACAGCTAATGGTAGAGTGACAAATACCTTGGATACAACTTCACGTGTTTCAGCATGTCGGGGACAGCAGTGAAAGGCTTTGTGGGAAAAGTGCATCAGCCTTGAATTAAGAATAAAACCAGAATGATTTGCTGTTGGGTAAAAAGGTGCCACAGCCGCCTCCTTGATTTAAAATAGCTTAGACCCTGTGCAAGAGAGTTCACTCCTGCTAATGGAATGTCAATGAAACAGCAAAATTTTTGACTCATTTAGTCTCAATACTTAGATATGAAGTGTGTATAAAAGCAGTTGGTAAAGGAAGACCCACAGAGGAAATATTAATTTAGCAGTGACCTAAATTTTATGCTCGTTTTCTTCTGGTATAGGATTTTTTTTTTTTAAGTCTCTCGGAGTGCTATAACTGAATGTTCTCAGAAAGCATGTCTCTTATTTATTTGTTTTCCTGTGAAAAAAACTGGAGCACTAATGCTTGGATGGAGAAGGAAATGGCAACCCACTCCAGTATTCTTGCCTGGAGAATCCCCATGGACAGAGGAACCAGCCTGGAGGGTTACAATCCAATGGGGTCGCAAGGAGTCGGACACAACTGAGCGACTAAGCACAATGTTTGAAAGTAAAATTCTCTTATGAACAGAAGTTGCCTCCTTGTATCTTCCTTATATGCATAGAGTTGTTTATGATGGTGATGTTTCTATCTGTTGTTGGGAACTCTGTGTTCTGGTCTTGTTTCCTACAGTATATCAGGGAGTAGGAGAAAATAGAAATTTATATGCAAAGGGCCTTAGCATACAGCAGAACAGCATTTGAATTGAATATAGATCCATAGAAGATTCTGTTTCTTTAATCATTATTAATATATTTTTTCAAATTGGTTTTAATGGAAAATTAAAATTTATATTATTAATACTATTGCAAATTTGTTATTACTCTGCATTACATTCATTAATACTAAGGAAAGGACTCTGAAAAACTTTGGTATAAATAAAGTGTTCAGTAGTTATGGTAAATACATCAATGATTAGAAATAAAGTTCATTTAATTAGTTTATTTTCTAAAAATATTTCAAACTCATTGGTAAAAATGTTTATATTTAAATTGGTATCTATATAAATTAGAATTAAACATGTAAAACAAAGGGAAATTCTCTTAATTTAGCTTATTAATAATTAGACAATGCAAGTTGTTAACTAAGTATTATTATAAAAGTCTAAAAATAATATATGACTGCAAATCTAGAACTAGACTGAATCATTTCACTTAAGCTGCATTAGCCGTTCTGGTGAGTTTGTTTCTAAGTGCCTCATTTATTTATTTTATTTTTTCTTTTCATTTATTTTTAACACACAAAACAAATCTTGAAATACCCGGATTTTTAAAAATTCATATTTTATATATAGTTTTTAAAGAGTGCATGTTATACATTGTTTATATAATATGAAATTAAGTTTTTGTATCACAGGTATTTATGAAAAATTTAAAAATAAATTTTTGTAGTTACATATTATGAGATATTGAAAAAAAAGTAACTAGGACAGCTATCTTGCTATTTGTATAATAGTAAAACCTGTACAACATACTGATATGGATATTATTAGACTCATAACATCAACTACAGCTGTAGTATTCTGATAATCTCCTTTTTTATAACTTTTGTATTAGGTTAATTCCTTGATAAATGATAAACTGTCAGGTGATGCTGAAAATATGAATCTAAAATGAGATGAATGACTCCCTTCTCTTAGTGAAGCAAAAGTAGAACATTTTGTCATCTCAGTGTGATCAACTAGTATTGTGACATTTTCTAAAATATTTTTGATGAAATATGAAAATAACCAGTGGATTATATTCCTATAAATTAGTTTTAAACCTCTCTCTCCCATTCCCAAACATATACTAGTCTTAAATCTTTAACCTAATCTAATAGCTTCCTGTCAAAGATAATGAATGTGGAGACCTCTAAGTCAGTCTGTAAGTCAACTGGACAGATCGGCTCTGAATTTTGTGGGAGACGAGGAAAGGCTATAAATCTTTGTAATTACCAAATGGAGGCTGTTAAATAGCTTGCAGTTTGGAAACTCATAAAATTGCTCTATTTTATAGGACTACATGCAGAGTATTTTCCCTCAACACACAAAACAAATCTTGAAATACCCGGATTTTTAAAAATTCATATTTTATATATAGTTTTTAAAGAGTGCATGTTATACATTGTTTATATAATATGAAATTAAGTTTTTGTATCACAGGTATTTATGAAAAATTTAAAAATAAATTTTTGTAGTTACATATTATGAGATATTGAAAAAAAAGTAACTAGGACAGCTATCTTGCTATTTGTATAATAGTAAAACCTGTACAACATACTGATATGGATATTATTAGACTCATAACATCAACTACAGCTGTAGTATTCTGATAATCTCCTTTTTTATAACTTTTGTATTAGGTTAATTCCTTGATAAATGATAAACTGTCAGGTGATGCTGAAAATATGAATCTAAAATGAGATGAATGACTCCCTTCTCTTAGTGAAGCAAAAGTAGAACATTTTGTCATCTCAGTGTGATCAACTAGTATTGTGACATTTTCTAAAATATTTTTGATGAAATATGAAAATAACCAGTGGATTATATTCCTATAAATTAGTTTTAAACCTCTCTCTCCCATTCCCAAACATATACTAGTCTTAAATCTTTAACCTAATCTAATAGCTTCCTGTCAAAGATAATGAATGTGGAGACCTCTAAGTCAGTCTGTAAGTCAACTGGACAGATCGGCTCTGAATTTTGTGGGAGACGAGGAAAGGCTATAAATCTTTGTAATTACCAAATGGAGGCTGTTAAATAGCTTGCAGTTTGGAAACTCATAAAATTGCTCT